TACCAAGCCTATGTGACTGCTTTAATAAGAAAAACAAGACTTGAAAAACCCCTGAAAGCTCCGCTTTAAATAGCAGGGAGTTTATATGTTGGCTTTCACTTGATGCAAAAATTATGCTTGTTTTTTCATGTGCTTGAACTAAGTATTCTCAATGAAATGTTGCCATAAGAGACAACTGAAATTTGTTTAAAATAGACTAAGTAAAGTGGCTGCATTTTTGCAGAACTGCTGGAAGTCTTACTAGCAAGAAAATAATATTTTATCTAAAACCAGAAAGATATTTCAAAGCAGTTTCATTTGAAAGAAGCTTTGCATTTCATAAAAACCAAGAGCATCATCTGTTTTATTTTGTAACACAGGATGACAGTGATGTAGAGTGGAAGTTTGCTCGTTCCAAACTTTGGCTGTCCTATTTTGATGATGGAAAAACGTTACCTCCACCCTTCAGTCTTGTACCAAGCCCCAAGTCTTTTTTCTATTTCATCATGAGGATCATTAACTTTTCTAAGTGCAGGAGGAGACGGCTACAGAAGGACATTGAAATGGGAATGGGCAACTCCAAATCGAGGGTAGGTTCTGAGATCTTTTCATTGCAGTGAAGAATTCTGTGTCTATTCCAGCAATCTTCTTTTCTTTTTAGCTTTAACCTATAATCCATGCTTCTGATGATAATAGAGTAACTAATAATTTATAGCACTAAATCTCTATTTCAGACTACGTAAACATACTGCATAAAACAAGAAATAGACTTAAATTTTGTTAGAACAACCAAATCTGGGAAAACAGAATTAAACCAAAAATTGATGACTGCTCAAAGATGCAAATAATTCCTGCAAGGAGTTACTTGAATATTGATTAAGGATATTTTGAGTCTATTTTCTCAGAACAGGATGGCTAAAATTATCAGCATTAAAAAAAAAACAAATCCAAAACCAACATATAATTCAAGGCAATCTCATTAAAAAAAAAATACTCTGATATAGTAAAAGATGGAAAGATCCCAAACATTTCTAAAGGAAAATAATAATGGAGCTGAATCCTAACGGTGAATTCCATAATTTATTTTAATTTTGTCTTATTTCTTCCTAGTTAAACCTTTTCACTCAGTCGAATTCCAGAGTTTTTGAATCCCACAGTTTTAACAGCATTCTCAATCAGCCAACACGCTATCAGGTAAGTATATACAGTGATCACTGTCCTGTGTAATAGAACAGTGAGAATGTTCTAGCAGAATTTTGTGTTTCAAGTACATTTTGCCTTCACCAGATAAAGAAAACCTCCTGTAGAAATCAAACTCTTAAGTGCTCCTTGAAAGAAAAGACAGTTATTGTATAAGCCCTTCATATAGTTATTTGAAGCATTTCAAAACTAGCTCATGCAGTACTTAGAATTGGTCTTTGATGTCTCAGTTGGGAAAGTGTGAGAAGCAAACATCTGAAATTGGTGAAGGAGTATCTGAAGTGGGTTTCTGGGCAAGGGATATAAAAGCTGACTAGGTTGGCTGTTCCCTTCCTTTCTCAGCATGCCCCCAGAAAAGCCCATTTGAGGCAAGTACTTCATCCAGAGCTGTTCATTCTTTCTCTTAGGCAGATGTGACAGAGAGAGCTAAGAAAGAAAAATGAACAATGTTTAATTATATTATCTCACCTGATTATATAACTGTTTTAATCTGGCAGCAAATAATGAAGAGACTGATAAAACGTTATGTTCTGAAAGCACAAGTGGACAAAGAAAATGATGAAGTCAATGAAGGTAAGAAAAGGACTGCAATATTCAGAGGCAATTTTTTTTCATGTTGTATTAGGAACCAGTATTACATGATGCATGGGTGTTTTGAGTGAAAAGAGGGATTGTTTCTATTTCACATGCACTGAGGCTCAGATAGTAATGGAAGTATGCCCATGTCATCAAAAAAATGGAAAAGCATGACTAAAGAAGTAGGACTGAGAAATATTATGGGCCCCATTTTACAGATAGAAAATAAGAGCACAAACATAATGCACAGAGGAAATCTGTGAAGGAGCTATTAACTGTATTCACACTTCCAGAGTGCTAATCAAATCTGCAGGATCTTCCTCTCTGTTTCATTGAACTGAACACACAATTATACACAATTTACCACTTTACACCATGAATTAGTGGTCCTGCCTTCCTTCATAAAGCTTCAAGGAATAATCACCTGTGAAGCTGCCCATCATTAAACAAAGCCCCACAGCTGCATGGTGATAAAAAATGACAAATGTAATCTCAAAAGGGAGACCTTTTGAGAAACAGTGGATCTGAGCTTCCTGGCAGATGTGAGAGGTGCTTGCTCCAGGTGCATGCCCTCACTCATCACTGGGATGAGATTATGGCAAAGGTGGTCCTCCCTCCTTCCAATCTTCCAGGAATGAAACACAAGCCTGCAGTCCAACAAAGAAACTCCTATGCTCTGGGCAGATCCCCAGACAAAAACTCTAGCTAGAATGTTATCAAGCAACAGAGTGATGCAGTGATGGACAGCCTGGGGTCAGAAGATGTTTTACTGGCATGGCAGCATCAGGCAGCTGTGTGCATATAAGGGGCCTGAAAGGGCTGCTCATCTCTCAGCTAAGGCAGCAAAGCTTCTGTTTTGCTCCTTAGTTGCTCTCTGCTTACCTGTAACTCTCTGCAGGGAGAAGCAGGGAACAAAAAAGATTAAATTAAATCCCCCTCAGTGCCTTCAAAAGGCAGCATTGTGCACTGACTGTTACCCTGACATTTCCCCATCCTGTGTGACTATCCAGAGCTGTGATTGTCACTGACAAAAGCAGAAAGGCTCCTAAAAGTGAATCCTCTCAGTGTGCTGCTCTCCTGAATTCCCACTGCTTTCCTCCTGTTCCTGCTCTGTGATGTATGAAATCATCTACCTAGTGACTGATGAAAAGACTGTTCTGCCACCAGCAGTGCCAGCCCTTTCCAGGTCCCTGATGCCACTTTGGTGTTGGCAGAGATGTTTAAATTAGAAAGACAGTGCAGAAGAATCAGGATTTGCTGACATCATGCTTCTGGCTTTGGCACCAAGTTTTATAGAAGAAAGTCCACTTTGATCAGGGCAAGTAACCATTGAGTTTCACTCTTCAGCTGCACAGCCAAGTACTCTGTGTCCTGAGCATCTCATTGGTACCCAAAGCACAGACCCAGCCTCCGAAGACACAGTTCTTGAAATCTGCTATACCCCAAACAGGAAACGTTGGCATGTCTATGTACTACAACTGCTTTAACAAAAGTCTAGAGGTTTTCCCTGTTCTGCATCATTAGGGAATTTAGGTGTCTCTTCATACTCTTCTACTGTATACATGACAAATCATTTCCTGAGGCAGATGCTGTGTAAGAATTCACATCCCTCACACTTGCTGGAAGACCAATATCTGAACATTTTTTAAAGCTTTTGCTCTTGAACTGAATACCCTACAAGGTAAACCATGCTGCTGCTTATTACAAGTCTGGCTTTGACAGCTTTGTTTATATGTGTTTTTTGTATTTGTGTCAAATTATAACATCATGTTAAATTGGTTGACTTTTTCTAATTCCAAGGATGTTGGTAAGGAAGAGGAGAGAGACTCAGAAGCTGTGAGTTTTACTGCCAGCTCTGCCACACCTTTCCTTTGTGATTTTGGCACATCCCTTCAGAAAAAAACCTCTTTTCCTTTTCTCTCTAAAAAGGGGGTACTAATATTTACCAGCTGTTCAGCAGTGTTGGTGTGATTAATTCATTAACCTTTGTACAGCCCTTGGGAATCTTTGGTGTTGTGTATACACGTGGAGCACAATTCGAGTCCCCAATGGACTATTAAAATTCCTTCAGTGCTATTTAGGGCTGGAGACACATCTCACTGAGAATGAAGATGAGGTATATCCTCCTGACCCATCCTGTACCTGCTCTCATGAACATTTTGGGATGATGATCTGAGATAGGCACTGATGTGACTTAACAGAGGAGTATCCAGTGAATGTTAAACTTTGCTAACAAGTCTTTGTTTCCATTATTAATGCAGGTGAATTAAAGGAAATCAAACAGGACATCTCCAGTCTTCGCTATGAACTGTTGGAGGATAAGTCCCAAGCAACAGAAGAGTTGGCAATTTTAATACATAAACTCAGTGAGAAACTAAATCCTAATATGCTGAGATGTGAATGATTCCACAAAGGAAACGTGGCTTCGACTACAGCACAACTATTTATTGGCAATAATATTTCAGTATCTCATACTTGAAAAAAATGTATTGTAGATTTTTAGCACTAAATAACTTTATGTACAGCTTCTCTGGAATTTAGTCTTAGGAACTTTTATTAACTCACCACAAAAAGATTGCTCTCTTCATTTTAATTGTCTAAAAGCAAGAACTACCATAATTTTTTTTTCATTTATGCATTAAAAAGGTATAATGGTATCGATCGCTGATATTTTAACAGGTTTATGGTTACATATGGAGAATTCTTTGCACTAAATTTGCAAGACAAAAAATTAACAGATACAGCGTAATACTCTGTTCCTTGCAGTGTCCAGGTACAAAATAGGATTTTTCATACTACAATAAACCAACTAGACATGAGTGGAGGATTACTTGAAATCTTTGTTCTTTATTAGTAGTATTAGTAACGCGTGTAAGCCCAAAACTCATGGTTAAGACCACAAGGAAATGCTGAGAACCAGGTAAGTGGGAATGTAATGTAATGGCAGCAGCGCTATTTAACATGTCTCTGTATACACGTACCCGCACCGAGTAAGGCTTTTTTTTTAAACTCAGACCCCGTGCAGGGCAGATATTTTCGGCCTCGTTGTTAAATAAACCACACCTCCCGCCCGGTTCGGCACCGAGCCCGGCATCCCCCTCCGCCCCGTTCCTGCGGGAGCCGCTCCGCGGCGCCCCCGGCTCTGCCCGCCCCTTGCCCCGCCCCGGGGCATTCCAGCCAATCGCAGCGCCCGTCTGGCCGAGGCCCCGCCCCCTCCCGCCCGCCCAGCCAATGGGAGGCGGCCGCCGCGCGGAGGTTGCCGCGGTGACGGGCGGCGGGCGCGCCGTGCCCGCGGGAGGGCCGCGCGTCCCGCGGGAGCGATGGAGCCCAGCCTGGCACGCGTGGATTACCTGCAGGTGGGCACGGCAGCGCTCCGGCAGCCCCCGGCAGCGGGACCAGGCGGCACGGCCCGCCGGGGCAAGGGGCGGCCGTGCGGCGGGGCCTGCGAGCGGCCCGGGGCGCGTCCCGGCGCTGCGGGCCCCGCTCTGGAGCGTCTCTTCCATCCACAGGTGGGAGTCACGGCGCAGAAGACGATGAGGCTGCTGCCCGCCTCCGGGAAGAAGTCCACGCAGAAGGTACCGACCGCCTGGTGCTTCGCTCCTGTCCTGTGCCTCATCCCATCGTTAATCATCCCCAGAGTTTCCTTAGATATAGGACGTCATAGGGAAAGACTGCAAGCCCATTTTGGGGGTTTGGAAAACCTTTTTTGTGGGAAAAAAAAATAGAAAAAAAAACCCTAATTTGTGATTGGAAAACTTCAGAACCGGGAAGGAATTTTTGTAGTTTACAGCGTTGCTGAAACCACAAAGGAGTTCCTCCATATTTCTCTATTCCACTTAAGCCTAGAGGAAATGGCCTGAAGCTGAGACAAGGGAGATTCAGGTTAGATATTAAAAAAATATTTTACTGTTAAGATGGTCAAGCATTGGATTAGGCTGCCCAGGGAGCAGGTGAAGTCACCGTCCCTGGAGGTGTTTAAGAGGTGTCTGGATCTGGCACTGGGTGGGTGCCATGGTTTAGAGGTTATAGTAATAATGACAACTTGATGGTTGAACTTCATGATCTTAAATGTCTTTTCCAACCTTGAGGATTCTATGAATTATTTTTTTTAAGTTCTCCTTAATATAAGTTCAAATTAAGGAAACCTTGTTAGGGAAACTCAATAGAAGTAGCTGAATTTTTTTCAGTAATAAAGTCTTAGTGTGAAAACACAACTTTTCCCAAATACATCTTCACCTCATGGTTGCTGACATTTAAAAGTAGAAACAGGAAAAGGATTGCAAATGCCTGTACTTGAACTGCTGTTCAATATCCTATCTATAGCATTTTATATAGATCTTAGTATACTTCCGTATGTAATTAAGTACTCTAGAACTTTGAGTCCTTAAATAAATGAAAATATCATTAACATTATAATAGAGGACTATTTACGATAGCATGTAGTGACAGGACAAGGGGAAATGGTTTCAAACTCATAAGAGAATAGGTATAGATTAAATAGAAGGAAAAAATTCTTTCCTCTGAGGGTTACCCAGAGAAGCTGTGGCTGCTCTATCCCTGGAAGAGTTCAAAGTCAGGTTGGATGGAACATGAGCAACCTGGGATAGTGGCAGGTGTCCCTGTCCCTGGCAAGGGGTTGGAGCTGGGTGATTTTTAAGGTCCCTTCCAACCCAAACCATTCTGTGATTCTGTGAATACAGGAAGAGCATTATTTAAAACCACAGTTGAGTGTGTAATAAAAAATAACAATGTATTACACTTTTGAAGGTGGTTGTTGGAGATCAGGATGGGGTCGTTACGTGCTTTGGCATAAAAAAGGGGGAAGCTGTGGTAAGTGGAAATGTTCCATTTAAATTTTTATTTTTGGAATATTCTTTCCAGTGAACTTTGAAAGTTCATTTTTTATTGATGTGGCAAATAAGATGCCAGTGGAAGGGGTCTAGGTAGAGCTGTGGCCTGATGCCTAACTGTGGTGAGGGCATGCTGATCTCATGCCTGATCAAGCACAGGATTCTCCACAGTTACAGTCAAAAACTAATGTGGAAAAAAAACTTAGCTTCTATTAAGTTTGGCTTAAGCCTGAATACATACACAGTTATTGTAACAAGACAAAAACCTGCAGAGATTTATTAAATCACCTTAAGGATTTGAACAAACTGATTGCTTTTTATGCCCAATGCAATAAAAAGTTTTTTTTTTTCCATGGGTTTTCTTCTCCAGGAAGTCCATGGTCAGCTCATAAGTATTCTATAGCAATACAAATAAATCAATGTAGACTTCTGGAATAAGAACGTAACATGTGAGAGGGAGGGAGTGTGTGTGTGTTGTTCTTTAAAATAAAAAAACAAACCACAAACAAAACAGCTGACAGCAGTGCTGAATTTTTCCCATAGATGAATTAATAACAATGAAGTAATGAAATCTTAATTTATTGTGTTTTAAAGCTTTTTGTATGTATTTACTGATAAAATATTTGATTGCTCTGTGATTCTGAAGATAAATATGCAGATTATTTTTGTCTGTGTACAATCCATTGCATTTTAGTTTTGCCAGAAATTGTAAATTTCCTATCATTTATGTTAAAAGATTACTGTAAATATGATATTGTGATGATGAAAATTGATTTTCTGTTGACAGCCAGTGTTCAAGACGCTACCAGGACAAAAGATCTCCAGACTGGAGCTGGGAGGAGCTCTTAATACACCACAGGAGAAAATTTTTGTGGCTATAGGATCCGAAGTCAGAGGTTTCACAAAAAGAGGGAAGCAGTTTCTTTCCTTTGAAACTAACCTTACTGAAAGCATCAAAGCTATGTATGTATGATATTTTGCATTTTTTGGCAGTTATAGCAGATTGTTTGTTTATGATTTTATGCATTAATGTTAAGCATATTGTGTAGGTGACACTAAGTGCTAGTCCAGCTTCAGCTTGTGCTGTAACCTGTTGGAGGAATTTGGAATATCACAGAGAAGTCTTGGAAGTGTGGGGGGAATTGGGAGTGGTCTGGACTCATTGCACTCACAGCAGTGCAAAATCTGAGTGAGCAGAGCTGGGGTTATTGATACAGTACATCCTGTCCACACAGCTCCTGGAGCAAAATCTCTTTTGGATTGCAGTGTAAGATGCTGCCATTGACAAATCAGCATAAAAATTATAGTAATGAAATTTCTATAAAGATATTCTTAAGGATTTACCTGAAGACAAAGTAGAAATGTGAGAGCTGTAGAAACCACATGGTTTTAATATTTGTAAGGAACTCTAAAAGCTGGAACAGCTTGCAGGGCCCCATATTACCTTGGAGCTGTAAGCATAGTAAGGCATAAAAGCATAAAGGACTCCTACTGCAGCAAGAGGCTACAGGAAGTGTTTTCTTCTCCTCAGGTACATTTCAGGAGCAGATCTCTTTCTCTGTGCAAGCTACATCTATAACCATTACTGTGACTGCAAGGACCAGCACTACTTCCTGTCAGGAGATAAAATCAATGATGTTCTCTGCCTTCCTGTAGACAAAGTGAACTGCATCACACCAGTGCTTGCATGTCAGGACAGAGTGCTCAGGGTGTTACAGGTTAAAATGCCCCCTTCTTTATGTTTTATGTATGGTTCTGTGGAATTGGACTAATTAATAAGGGAATACATATCAGCATGGCTTAAACAGGATCAGGATCAGTACACTGTGCCTTACTTGGTAATGCTGCTGCTGGTGCATTCCCTTGCTGCTGTTTTTCGAAAGGAGAATCATCATAAACTTGTAAAAAATGAGGATTAATGAAACCACTATAGACAGGCTTTGGAATTCATAGGTGGAAGTTGATGACAAATTGGTCCCTTCTAACTAAAAGTGCTCATTTAATTTCCTGAAGGCTTTATCACTTTGGGAATTCTTGCTCTCATAAATTACTGTTGCGACAAGTCTTGAGTGATACTAAGGGGTTTAACATATTAAATTGCCAGCTGAGTTCCTGGATCATTTAAAATTATAATAACACGTTTCAGGAGTCCTGTGTTTTATTTGTACAAACTTCACCCTGTTTTTGGCTTAGACATGGTTTTCCCATAGGAGTTTGAATAAGTAAATCTTACATTTTATTATGATCCATAATAATTTTGTCATTGTGGGACTTTGGTTTGGTATGTGGCTGGTGTTTTGGAGGTTTTTGTTGTTGTTTTGGTTGTGAGTGTTGTTTTTTTTAACAAATTCATTTGAGATTGTTCTCTTTGTCTTCAGGGATCTGATTTGCTGTATGAAGTAGAACTTCCTGGACCACCTACTGTTCTTGCTCTGAGCAATGGAAATGGGGGTAACAAGACTTAGAATATACACAAAATTAATAATGCTATTTTACTATGTTTTCAAGATTTTGTAGCTTGTCTTTGTTAATTATTTTGTCCTGATTTTTAAGCCGATTTTAAAAATGCAGCAGAAAAGTGACTATGCAAGGTAATTCTTTACGTATAAGTAAAAAAGACATGACTGTTTTAGACAGTTCTAAATTATATTAACATTCAGTTGAAGACATCTTACAGCACTAGTGAGATCTGAGGGGTCTCATTGTGTAAAAACAAACTGGACTTTTGGGGGCCATGCCCAGGTTTTGGGTTTGTATTTCCCTTACACGTGGATTTCCATAACTGAATACATGGATGGACAAGAATATTGAGTAGAGTTAACATAAACTGAGATGGGAAGGTTCAAACTTAAAATAGTTTTGATCATCCTTCTTGCTAATCTGCTCTAACCTCATCGAAATCGCTTTAGGGTGTTAATCTGGTGCTTAATTTAGTTTCAGTTAGATTGTGTGACAAACATCCTGAGGTAGTTTGGAAAAGTAGTTCTTTATTGCTGAATTTTTGGCACAACATTCACTGCTGGGTGTGTGTTGTGAAAGGGTTCTCTGTTTTTCTTCTGTAAAGTCCATTGAATAACCTTCATACTTCAGCCTAACTTTGCTGAAATCTATAGTAATAGATTCTGTCTGGTTTTTAGGCAGAACTCAAGTGCAGGGGTGCAGCCAAACACAGAATAGTGATAACCCCAAGGAAATTATCAGGATGAGTGCAGTTTTCATGGATTTGTTTTTAGGTTTGAAGCCTGACAGTTCCATTGCACATCACTAATTCAGTGTGTCCTTTTACCATGGGCTGCAGAGTGTAACTACCCAACATTTTTAAAGTCAGTGTGCTTGATTTTATCAATTCTAAATTCAGTTTCTGTGCTCAGGTGATTCTGGGGAAGAAATTGTGTATGGGACTTCTGATGGGAAATTGGGTGTCACTCAGATTACTGGTACCAAGGCAATACCAAGGTGGGAAATTGGAAATGAAAAGAAGAGAGGAGGTATGTGTCTCAATTTCTCACTCTTTAGCTTTCCCAGCGTACCTGAGGCTTTGTTAAGGGTAGGGTAATCGGGAAATCTTATTCATAGATGACTTTGGAGACATATTGTGATTATGTGATATTAGTATGACTGAGGACTCTTTCATTCTCCTGATTTTCTGACAAATAATTTGAATCAGTTTGTCTTGCTTTGGATTTTGTGTTCATATTATTTCCAGGATTTTATCAAACTTTTGTTCTTACACTATTTTTAAAGTGGTGTTTGTAAAACTGTGTTGATTCAAATACGATTCATTGAGATGTTTTAAATTTTTCAATTTCTAAGCGTGTGTATATTTGGAAAATACACCTGTCAAATTTTTCAGACGTTCAGTGTTTTTAAGGTCTCTAAAGTGTCATAATAAAGGGTTTTGTTTGAAGGTGGACTATGTCTCCACAATAATTGAGCAAAACCTTCCCAGTTTTAGCATTGGTGTGCTGCTTCTGGAACATCTTTTAGCCCCTACTGCTTTGTAAAGGACAAGATTGGGAATGGAATGTATAAGTACATTTTTATTTAATTATAAGATTTATCATCATGTTATTTTCTTAAAATGCTTCCTAGTATGTCCTTAGTCTTTCTGTGAAATATGGAGCCAAAAAAGTAACCTTGAACCTGAAGCACAGGGTAGGGACTTCAGCCTTAAGGACTCACCCAGAAATCTCATTATTAACACCTTAAAAGCTGGCCAGGACTCTCTTTCCATGTAACTGAGTGTGGCCTGTGTATTATTGTATCAAAAACTAATAAAGGTGAAGCAAATGTCTTTATTTTCTTCTTCATTAGGTATTCTGTGCATTGATAGTTTTGACATTCTGGGAGATGGAGTTAAGGAATTACTTGTTGGACGAGATGATGGAATGATAGAGATTTATAGCTTTGAGAGTGCTGATGATCCTGTCCTTCGACATGATTATGTAAGTCTTCATACTCTGCTGGAAAAGAAACATTAATTAAAAATAAAAATCTGTATTTCAAAACTTACATGATTGTTACTGCTAAAATATGTGGGTTTTTTTTTAATTTAAGAGGTTTGTAACATTGACAATATGAACTTGAAATCAGTATGGTAACATGTAAGAACCATGTTAGAACCAGAAAGTAACATTTAAGAACCAGAAAGTGAAGTGGTTGTGATTTGACCAAAAATCAAAATAATGTAGAGACTGTGTGTTAAAGTTTTGTCTTAGTTGACTGCTGGGTGAAACCTAATACAGGGTTGCTCTCTGAGTGAAAAACCCAAGAGTGTTGTGTGTAGTCTGTGATTTACAGGTTAATAAATGGTATTGCCAGGGCTTCACTGAGCATAATTACTTTGGTTATCAGTTGTTTAAAATAGTAATTGGATCCAGAGGGATCATTTCACTTCACTCAGGTTGCTAATTTCTGATGGAAAAATACTGTCTATCAGTGTTTTGCTTTCAGCTTTTCAATATGTTTGCTATGTGGAGCAGAATCTTCTAAAAACATCTAAAATTAGTGCAGTGATATTTCACTTTGCTTGAATGTGTTTATTTGAAGGCTTTATCAGAGACCATTGCATCAATCCAGGGTGGCTGTGTAGGAAAAGATGGCTATGATGAAATTCTAGCAGCAACATACTCAGGTAAGCTTCATTCACTGACACAATATATGCCATGTGTGGTGAGGTGATATGAAGCAGGTTACGTTGTTAGTGCAGCTCACATCTCTTAAAATTTTGTGATGAAAAGACCTCTTCTAATTTAATATTTACACTTTAAAAAAATTTTCTACACTTAAACTGGAGATTTTATATTTTAAGATATTGATCATGTGTAACACAGTGGCTGACTATATTTTGGTGTAAAGTGCTGCCTTAATGTGATGAATTAATGGGTATGTCTGAAGGAATTATTTATGATTTTTTAATATATATGAAAAATGTTGATATATAAGCATGATTTCATTTTATTTTTTCTATCTTTTACATAATTTCATTCATTTTCAGCTTCACAGTGCTTTAAATGGGGCTGATTTTGATTTTAGGAGGAAATAAAGCTCCCCCATGTGAGGCATCTCAGTAGCTCCTCTGTAAGTCTTGAGCTATTGGCCTGTCTGTGACACAAGCCATGATAAACATGCTGCATATGTCAGCTGCTGGGTGCTAAAATATTGCTAATTTTCTTTCTTTAGTTACCTTCAGTGGTAAAACTTAACCTGTTGAAACTGCTTGTAATGAAAATCATGTCATTTGGCAAAATACAATTCTCAGTCAGTTACGGAGAAAAATGGTGTTACAAATACCTCTTTTAAACATTTTTGAGTGATCAAAAGACCCTTGCACCTGATCTCATATGAATTGGTTTGGTATGATTGGCTGTACTTAGTACTGTTGCAGCCTAAATCCTTTGTGGCTGCTTTTAGTGGAAGTGTAAAGATTCATGGATCAGAGAAGAAAGGGAAAAAGTGAAAGCCCATGTTCCTCTGTGGGCTTTCAAAGGTGAATTCTGGAAGGATGCGCACTAGACTGATTTTGGCAGGGAACCAGAGCTATAAACTCCCATTCATATCTGCATATCATGCCTGATTTATCAGAATATAATCAATTAGTATTTGCTTTTAGAAATAAATCTAATTTAGTAAGCAAAAGTATAACTTTTTTCAAGCAGCAGCATCCAACTTTTTAGCCCACTGAGCAGCAGCCAGTTTGCTGTAAACACATTGCACAGCTTTTGTTTTGTTTTCAGTACTGACAGTAATTCAAGTTTTATCAGAAAAAGAGAGGTGAGAAAAAAATCCAACTACTCAGTTAAAAACTGTTAAAGAAGAATTTATTGCTCAAAGTACTTAATGAAAAAAAAGGTAATGTTTTCCAATTTAAGCATGAAACCCTTAAAAATGGTACTCAGTGTCTAGGATTAATCCTACAAAAAAGGATTAAATTTGGCTCAATTCTCTCTACCCAGTGTGTGGAACAAGCATCACTCCATACATACAATAGTTGAGTATAGAATTTTCTTTTTAGCTTATAAGGAATATAAACTTCATATATTGGTTTAGGCTGGCTGACAGGACTGACTACAGAACCTGTCCATAGAGAAGTTGGATCAGGTGAAGAACTTAAATTAAGTCAAGAAATGCAGAACAAGATTTCATCCTTAAGGTAATTGTGCTAGAAAGAAATTTAAATGCAAGAATGGAAATGTTAAAAGCTGAAATATCATCTCTCCTTCCTATCTCACTGGATTTTCTTTATCACTAATATATCTAGAAGTAGAATTAAACTTTTTCAAAGTAGAAATGAATAGCAGCCTAATTTCACAGTCTTTTCTCTCTTGCCTTCACATGATGATGTCTTAATGCTTTCTGCCTCAGTATCAGCAAGATAAGATTCCTTTCTCGCTTGATGCTTTATAGCTTCTAAATGATGGCAGGAAAGAAGTCACTACCATATTAGTCAAACTGCATTGTACTCTTGAAGGAAAAAGTTTGTCCTTTCCTGTGTCCTAAAAACCTCTTGTGGTAAGGAACATGTAAAATCCATATATCCATGTGTTAGAGTTTATCTTCTATCTTTTATCTTTGCTAAGTACATCTAAGGGGAGTCATCAGTCGCTTCTGTCTGGAAAACTGAGGACAGGAGATAAACATGATTGCCTTGCACATTTAAACTACTTAATTTCTAGGGTAGGTCTATAGCTGCCTTTTTTCCAAGACATTATGAGTGGTTTCCCTTTTCTAGGAATGAATTGGAACAATTGCAGCTAAAAGTACTTCAGGAACGGGAGAAATACCAGCAGTCCTCTCACTCCAGCACTGCAGTTTCCTCAGTACCTGCCTTCAGTGTGAATGACAAGTTCACACTGAACAAGGATGATGCCAGCTACAGCCTCATCTTGGAGGTGCAGACAGCCATAGATAATGTCTTGGTGCAGGTCAGTGGGGCTTTGTTCTTGTTGGCTTTCTTGATACATAAATAAAACATTCAGAGACTTTCTAGTCCATAAAGCCAAGTTACAGCATCTTAAGGACATACTTGTTAGGGAGCAAATACAACAACTTCATATTGAGCAGAGCAACTGTACATTACTAAAATAGACCAAAGTGGCTGCTGTAGCAGATGATTTCTTTGTAACTTCGTGTTTGCTTTTGCATGTCCTAATTTAAACACCAATTAAATGAGGTGCACATCCTCACTCACAAGTTAAGTGCCCTCTGTAGTGGAAAATTAATTTCAAAATGTTATGGGCCACCTGTTAATTTCCAGTGTGGAACAGCATCTGATTTGTGTGCAGTTGGGGAGAAATAGTCCAGCCCATTACAGCAACCTTAATTAATTATTCCTCCTACTGTATCAGCTGAAATTAATGCCATCTTTGGTAGTCAGAAAGAGTAGCAGTACTGAATTACCTTATTTTGGGAAATGCTTGAGGAGAAAAATGTGACAAGGAGGAATTTATGAGGTGATTTTTCTATAACAAATGGGAAAGAAATATTGTAGGATTTTATTTTTCACTTCTTGATAAAAATCCTGTTTTTATTAAGGATGTTACAGAGCAATGCTAAGTTACAGCTAATTTGCCACCATATAATATCAGATGTTTCTATAGCTAAATGAGAAATAAGGAAATTGTTTAATCTACCCTTCATGTCTGAAAGACACTTACAGATTTTACACTGAGGTTGTGGTAAACCTGCCCCCCAGGAGTTCAAGACTCTGGAAGGGAATAAGAGAAAGATCATCATGTTACTCCAGGATTAAGTAGTAAGCTGCATGTCTGTTAGGCTTCTGCCTCTGAGATGAAGCAATCTCATTGCCTCGCTCTCCTTACAAAGCTTGATGACAGAGGATAAATGCACTTGGAGCTACTCAGGAATGTAACCTCTTTATTTTTCCTTCCTCCTGTATTCTGCAGAGTGATGTCCCACTAGACTTGCTGGATGTGGATAAAAATTCTGCCGTTGTTAGTTTTAGCAGCTGTGATTCTGAGGTGAGTGAAACCGAGGAGGTGAGGTCTGTAGAGATGGCGTGATGGAAACTCTTCATATTGCGTAGTAAAAATAGAACTTGGATGTATATATCTCTGATTTAAAATACATGCAGTTAAACTACTCATCTGGTAATTGTGGAGAGCACAGCTTCATTAGAGACACTGCAGCATTAGGAGTTATAGGCAGGTCCTGATGTAAGGCAAATGTAAATATGCAAAAATATCTGCTGTCTTCATTTTTTTCTCATTCCTGGGGAAGATTGTGAGAGACACAATCAGTATTGCTCTCTTCTCTGGATTTCATAGACTCATATACATTTACTTCCTGGCAATTTAGGTGAAGAGTGTTACATTTCTTAGTTAATTTCTAAAAAATAGCTTTAGAATGTGACAATTCTGCTGTGTGGGGAGTCAAATGTTTGCATGCTTTTTTTTATATGTAATAACTACAGATTTAAATAGTTACAGCATTAAAGTTGACACAGAGGGCCAGGGAGAAAATCCTGGAATTCCCTTAGGATTTATGAAAATCTTCTGTAAAATCCTTTCCCTTCTAACAGTCCTTTATTTTTAATTTAAGAAAAGAATTTGCATGTCATTGTTCTGCCCTGGAGCTCCCAGAAATCAGCTTTTTATTTTAGGTTTTGTGCCATTTGTGATGATTAACTTAGCGCTTTTTGGGGTGTATTTTCCCGCTGAATCTGCTTTAGTTTTTGAATGTTGAACTAATTTTGTAGATAAGTGGGCCAGGTTGACATGCATTTTTCAGATGAAAAGTAGGTATCTGTGTAATCTTTGTAGAGATATTAAAGAGTGTAAGAGGCATTGGCTGTATTCTCTTAAAGAGAGATTTTTATTTTTTTTAACCCTATCATAATTAAAACTAATTGGAACATTCAGGGGAACCAAGGATTGCTTCTATGCATTTAACTCTTGTAAATAGCTGTACATGCATAGCAAAAAACTTCACTGTAACATAGCTACAGTTAGGTTAAAACAGACCAGTAGAAATTTTGTGAATCCACAGACCTGTTTTGTATTATTTTCCTACTTAGTTTTCTTTTTCCTTTTTTCAGCCAAATAGCAACTTTCTTCTTGCAACTTACAGATGCCAAGCAAATACTACAAGACTTGAACTTAAGGTAAAGTGCTCAAAGATATGTTCCAGAAAATTAATTGTTAGTCCTAGTTTGGAATGAAGAGTTCTCTACATGGATCAGTCCAATTTCTACTCCTTGTTTTTTCCTGAGACCTTCTAATCTGGGGCTTGTGTTTCTTTTTATTTGTCTTTAGGATTTCTAAGGGCTTCTAAAAATATGTCAGAGGAAAGCCTGACATCTTTTTGAGTGTCCCCAAGATGAAAGCAGTGGGGACACCACAGATTGGGAAAATATAGGATTCTGAAGGCAATGTGTGCAACTTAAAGCTGAGGGAGGTGTGGGAAAGAAAGCTTTGGCACTGTATATTCTCTGAAGTGTTTGAAGGAAGTTACATTGGGAACTAACAAGGGAATATAGGCTTAATTTGTATTTTGGAGAGGAAGCAAATCCTGTCATCCCAAGCGTATTACACTTAAAGGCATGTGGGTGTTTTGGAGTTTATTTTTAAGGATCCACAAAATTCACATTTTGTAGCAACCACCACAGGAAGTAATGAAGGAAATCCTGATTAAGAAAATCCTCAGCATGCACACAGGTGTGAGGTTTTCTCTTTTATACTGCAGCCTCCTAATCTGATATGTGTTTAAGTAAAACTCTCAATTTTTGAGGCTTTTTATTTTAACTGATCAGAAAATGAGTTAGAGGGTGTTATTTTATTAATATTTAATTCATCTAATACAGCAGCGCTTCACTGGACTATGCTTCATTTAGTTTTAAACTCATCTGCTTTAATTATAGTGGCACTATCAAGTAAATACAGTACTATAAATATTCTTGAAATATGAGAGGCTTTCTTTAACATAATTTGAATAGTCACTACATTTCCAAACAGTGGTAAAATAATCTTTTCCCTTTTCTCCTCTGTGGGTTCTTCTTTCCTCTCTGCAGGTTCGCTCCATTGAAGGACAGTATGGGACACTTCAGGCATATGTAACTCCCAGAATCCAACCAAAAACCTGTCAAGTTCATCAATATCAAATTAAGCCACTTTCACTTCACCAGAGAACTCATTCTATTGATCAGGACAGGTATTGGCAAAGAAAAATCAATGCCTTTTTTCACTTGGAAAAAATTACACAAGGCAGCTGAAACATTTGCTCGGTAAACTTGAGTATGGAATTTCTAACCCCTAACATACACTTTTGAGCCTGTAGTTCCATTTCATTGATTTCCTAATAGAAATTATGGATTAAATGGGTTCCTTGCCACTCTTGTTTTGGGGCTATTTTTCATTTTACTGCCCTGAGTTACAGTTCAGCCCCATTTGTTAGTACAGCTGAGGGTGTGGTAGAAAAGAAACTTTCTGTAGGTAACTGTGTCTTTTCAGTTTCAGCCTCATTCTCTGCTCCACCCTTTTCCGCTATTTTTTTTCTCACAGCTTGGCCCCAAAAGTGAGTCAAGACATTTTTTACCTTTATCTCTCTGTTATAGGAATTTTGTATTTTACATAATTTCTGATGGATTTTTGCCTACCTCACTAACATCTCATATTGCCTCCAAGGATATGTTTGTTCAAACCAAAACTGAAAGAGTGAAGTGAGATACCAAAGGCTTCAGTGTGCAAATGAGCTCCACTATGCCTTGTTCTTGATAAAAATGCTACACCTGGGGTTTACAGCACGGGAGGCTCTTAAGGCTCTGTCTTAGTCATATTTGCTCTTGTCAGTTATTTACCTTTGTCCAAAATTTCAGGTTTAACAACTTGCAGTGGGACATCAAACACTTCCAATTTGGCTTTTTTTCTAGTTCTGACATGCCTAGTGGGAGGTAAAACTTGAATATGCATGTAGCTTTGCATTTTGAAGTACAGAAAAATAGCTGTAACCTGCAATATGTGTCTGTACTTAGGGAGAGACCTGATTTTTTTTACAAGGTGCTGATTAAAAGGAAGCCACCACGTGGAACTAAACTTTTTTTTACATGGACAGTGTCCCTCCTTCTTAACTATTAACTGTCCTTTTTCTCTTTTAATTTCACAATGTCACAGGCCTATGAATACACTGATTCTCAAAGGCCAGTTCAGTTTTGCTGAAATTCACTCCTGGGTTGTGTTTTGCTTGCCTGAGGTGCCTGAAAAGACTCCTGCTGGAGAGTGCATCACCTTTTATTTTCAGAACACTTTCCTGGGAACACAGCTGGAAAGTACCTACAGGTAAAATACAATTACTAAACTTAATGCATACATGTGTGTTCAAGTTTATTAATTTAAAATTTCTTCTTCAATAGGAAAGGTGAGGGATACTTTAAATCTGACAACATCTCTACAATATCCATCCTCAAAGATGTGTTTTCCAAAGAGGCTACTAAAAGGAAGATTAATCTCAACATGTCATATGGTAAAAATTCTTCTTTATTTTGTTGTCCTTCAGTTCATTTGTTATTCCCATAAATGGACTATGTAGTACTCAACTTGCTTGTTGGTGTTCTTTTTTACTCTCTGCTAGATGTAAATGAAGAATCTGTGAGGCACACATTAAAGCTTATCCACCCTAAATTAGAGTATCAGCAGCTGCTGGCCAAGAAGGTTCACTTAATAGATGCTTTGAGAGTAAGTATCTGAACTCTTGGGGTTTGATTTTTATGAAGGGGCTATGCTGTCAGACTCCAAACCATGGCTCAAGTCAGGTGTGTGTCATGTGGGGATCTATTCCCTTAGATTAAATTATGTATTTTAAGTGTCTAGAAGACAATTTTCTTCAAGGAAAATTCTCTTTCTTGGTATCTAACTAGTGAAACACATGTAGGATTACTGAACATGCTTAAATTGGATGGTAGAAGGGCAGCCAGGTTTATCATTTAATGTTCTCTCCTAGCCTGCTGTTACTTTCCAGCTCCTTCTGTCCCTCTTCCAACAAATATTTACAGGTTTTTTTAGGTCATCCAGACAAATGCAACTTCTTTGCCTTGGAACTTCATCCCAGTGTCTCATAATTTTTAAATCATCTGCTTTTGAATCTTCCTGTTAATACCTTCAATAGGTTTTAGGAGGTACCACTTAGGCAGCTTGTCTCAATTCTTGGACTTTTTTTCCAACAACCAGGATTTCCCTGTGAAAGCTCACCATGATTGAGTTGGTATTTATTATTTAAAGGGTGGGGAGGTGAAAATGTTGAACTAGTTCTCTTTTGTCCTTTTGGGGGAATCAAATACTTGTCAGAGCTCTTTAGACAGTAGAAAAGCTGGCTGCTAATGAGAACAGTGTGAATCTTTATTATCACTAAAAGGGTTTTACTTGGGCTTGGTTTGGCAAACCAGAGATGTAAACAATAATAGAGAATTTATTCTTATGCATATTGTGTTTCTGCAATAATAATGGTGTTGTACATCTTGCTTGTTTTAGACAGCAAATCTTCGACAAGTTTTTTGGTCACTCATTTTTTGGATGATAACTTTATTGACAGGCAGTAAAATAATCTAATGGTTGATGAAAGCTGTTATCCCAGCAGACTCACAGTGCACAAATAATTACCTCTAGTCTAGAACAGAAGTGCCTTTCTCTGGAGGATAAAAAGATCTATACTATCAACCATCCCAAACTGGTCTGCTGATAGTCTGAGGCTTCTTAGAAGAGGCATTAAAAACTTTTTGCTGTCACAAATTGAGTGATATTTTCCGAGTTTACTTTTACCTTCACACTTCATTGAGTGCTACACATTCTTAGGAATTAACTTATTCTAAAAATGAAGGTATGATCAAGTCTGCGTGGTGTGATCCTGTTCTGTCTCAGAGCTGGAAGCTGAAATACGCAGGATTTTGAGAATCCAGTCTATGAAGTGACATCTGGCATTCCATTAGAAGACTAGAAAATAAGGCACTCTGAAAATAACACTTGCTAGTTTAGAAGGGAATTGTCTTCCTTTTGAAGTACTTCCTTCTGACGTATCTAAGCTTCATTTCTTCTTACTTACCTCCTCTTATGATACTTACCTGCTGCTAGCTCTTACCATATTAAACTGTCTTTGAGGAATTACAAGTTCATGAAGGCAACGTGGACTTCTTGCTCCCAAAATACCGCAGCATTTTGGAAGAGGCAGATCAGCTGCTTGAGGAATACAAGAGACAACCTGCACATCTCGAGAGGCTTTATGGTTTGTTAACAATTCAGCTTTATTTAAATGGGGCTTCATGGCCAGAGACATGGCTGAAATAGACAGTTGCTTATATTTAGATGATACTTATCTTTATGGACATGATTAAAGATTGTGTTCAAATTCAGGATGGCATTTAAGAATGTATAAAAGTTAAGTGGCTTGGATTGCTTACAATTAAACTGTTGTTTAAGATGTGAAGTTTAAAAACTCTTCTAACAACTGAAATACTTAGTACATAATCATAAATTAAAAGTAGAGATACCTGCTACTGAAAATAAATAGTAATTCCTGGAATTTTACTTTTACAGGTATGATCACAGATCTCTTCATAGATAAATTTAAATTTAAAGGCACCAATGTGAAATCCAGAGTTCCTCTCCTTCTGGAAACTCTGGATGGCTGTGATCAAGATGGATTGATCGCTTTTTTTGATGCTGCCTGACAAGGAAAAAGGAGAGTAATTTTTCTGGTTTTAACCAAGGCATTTCAGTATCAAGTCAAAAACACTTTTACTCTTTTGTTGTACTGTCAGCTCCTAGGTTTTATTAATATTTATTATCATATTGTATACAGTAGTAAACTTCATATAAGCTGTTGTGTATGTTAACTGTATGCAGAGGTTTTATGTACAGTGTTAATAGCTCGAGAAAGATCAGATGTAAATACCAAATATCCTTTTGGCAAAAATGTTTTCACTACTGTTTAAGACACTATGGAATAGCCTGTCCCCCAGCTGTAAGAATGGATGAAGAAACTTGTTTCCAGAGGCTTGGATGGATTTGGAAGACATCTGTGTGTTTCAGCTGTACCTAATGTAGTTTTTCCTGTTGTGTTGAGAAGGTGGTGTGAGAATTTCACCAGACTTAATGTAGCTGGTGTGTGCAGAGTGGGGAGAGATCCATTTAAAGCCACATTTGTTTAGTAATGGATGGCATTAAACTTCCTCAGTGCTTCTCCAGCCTCCCTGTGCTCAATTTCAAAACTCCACCTACTTTCTTGCTTGGTTTTATTTAAAATTAGAAGTGACGAAGCAGCCAGTAAAGAGAGATCTGTTTGCAAGGAAAAAAGATCAACGCCATTTAAGTGACATAGAAGTGACCTCTGGGATCATCAAGTCCAACCATCAACTTGTCATTTTCACTGTACCCTGTAAACCACATCCCCCAGCACCATATCGACACCTCTTAAACACCTCCAGGGATAGTGACTCACCCTAACAGGTAATTTTTTGACTTGTTGTCTCATCTGAGGGTGAGGAGGCCCTGGCACAGGTTGCCCAGAGAAGCTGTGGCTGCCCCATCCCTGGAAGTGTTCAAGGCCAGGTTGGATGGGGCTCTGAGCAGCCTGGACTAAAACGAAAGGTGTCCCTGCCCGGAGCAGGATGGTTGAAACACGAGTACCTCTGTGGTCTGCGATTCTTTGATAATGGAAAGAGTACTACGGTCTCACCCCGAGGCCATTTCCTCTTGTCCCCTCACTGCAGGCACCTCACTACCCCCTCCTTTCAGGGAGCTGGAGTGATGAGCTCTCCCCCCGACTAAACCCCCCGCCCCCTCCTCCACCTCCCGGCACACGTTCACGAGCCCAGCTGGGCAGGCTCCAGCTCGTTTCCCACACAGGTTTCCCGGCGGGAACGCTGGAGGCTCCTCTCTCCCCGCCGCGGGCGGGCGCGGGGCCTGCAGTCGCTCCCCGCCCCGCGCGTCCGCCCGTGTCTGTCGGTCCGTCCCTCTCCGGCCGCCCCATCCGGCGCGGCCGTGACGCCGCGCTCGCCCATTGGGCGGTTCAAGAGTCGCGGGCTACTTGAACGGCGCGGGCGGCTCCAGGCGCGCCCGTCCCGGCCCCGCCGCTCCGGCCGCGCCGTCCCCTCCGCCGCGCTGCCCCCGCTCCTGCCGCGGCCATGCTGGCGGAGCAGGAGAACCAGGAGAACGTGCCCCCGCCGGCGGCCGGCAAAGCCGCGGCGGCGCCGCCCGCCGCCGGCACCCGCGTGGCGCTGGGGCTGCTGCGGGGAGCGCACCAGCGCGCCGGGGTCCCGCTGCAGGTGAGGATCGATCGGCGGGAGCGGGGGGATGCGGAAGGGGCAGCGCCGCTTCGGCGCGGCGGGAGCTGTCAGGGGCCCGGCGCTGACGGCCGCTCTCCACACAGGCGGCGCGGGGCGGCTGCGAGGGCCACGGAGCGGCGGCGGGGCTGCAGCAGCACCAACACCAGCCCTTCTCCATCCATGTGGACGAGCCCGATGGGGAGCGGGCGCCGCGGCGGCAGCGGGGCGGCCCGGCGGGGCAGAAGGAGGAGGCGGCGCTGGGGCTGCGTGCGGCCGTGCGTGTGCTGGGGGAGCGGCGGCCCCTGGCTCCCCTGAGCAACGCCCTGGAGCTGAGCTTCGGTACGTGACACCCCGGCCCGGGCCGCGGGCTGGTTTGGTTCCTTTGAGCCTGCTGCCAGGATGCAACAGCTCTTCCATGCGGCTGAGCCTCTGCGTTCTTATCCCCTGCTATTTTAGGCCGTTGTATACTTCGTTACTTTAGTACCTCATGAGAGAAGCTAGATTACAGACAAAATCAACCCATAAAGCCTTGCCCTTTGCTACCATTACGGAGTTAGAAGGGGACTTTACCCAGGCGGATGCCAAGATGTAAAAGGTTTTTCTGCCAGTTAGTGATGCAAGTGTTTTGAGCCCTTACCAGTATGTGAAAAATGGGAACTGCCAGATCCATCTTCTGTAGCACATGTCTGAATATCTGGGGGCTGATTTTCCTGTGACCCACTTATGCAGGCTACAAAAAGCTCTGGCACGCCTGCCCCGTTGTAAACCACAATCTAAGCTTACAGGATCTGCATCTATGTTACAAGGTAACAGAGCATGCACTCAGCACTACATATTTGCAAGAGAGTTTTCCATCTCTTTATTCTTAGCGGGAAGAAGAGAAAGGGGAAGGGGAACCTTCCATTTTGCTGTAACATTTCACTTCCATAGAGCCTCCTCAAATCCCAGTCCAGCTGAGTGAGCCTGCACAAGGTTCCCTGTGTTGTGAGGAAATGATGTGATGGTGCCCATTTTAACATGGCTGTTATCCTCTGCCTAGATTCCCCAAGTATTATGGATATTTCAATAACCTCAGAAACAGAAGAGAAAGCACCAAACGTTAATAACGTGCCAGACTATATCAATGAAATCCATACGTACCTGAGGGAAATGGAGGTGAGCTGCTGTCCTTTTTTTTATTTGCATACAGCCCACAGGGGAAGAGTTTGGGGTGGAGAAATGTATCTGAACATGAGTTATCAAGACAGTGACTAAATTAGAGCTTGCTAGAAAGGGAGAAATAAGAGCACGGGACTCGTTTATTGTGCCATGCACAAGCTGGAAAGCAAGATTACAGAAATAGAACTTTCTGATCCTAAACTCACCAGTGTTTACTTCTGATTTGTTAAACTGTGATAAGCGGAGTTTAAACAGTTGCTTCCCTAGCAGCACGTGGTCCAGCCTCAACTTTATCTGTCATCTAAACCTACAGGTGAAGTGCAAGCCCAAAATAGGTTACATGAAGAAGCAACCTGATATCACAAACAACATGCGGGCTATTCTTGTGGACTGGCTGGTGGAAGTTGGAGAAGAATACAAATTACAGAACGAAACCCTGCACTTAGCTGTAAATTACATTGATAGGTTTCTTTCTTCCATGTCTGTTTTGAGAGGAAAGCTTCAGCTTGTGGGTACTGCAGCTATGCTGCTCGCATCGTAAGTGAAATTGCTTCATTTCCAGTTCCACCTGCTGGTTTCATACAGATGGAAATCTTGTGGCTGTTCCGTTGCCTAGAGCAGAACTAACTTGGGAGGGCTTCACACTAGGATAAAAATCGGGAGTTATCTACCTAAAAACTTGGCAGTTACCTTTGAAGTTTGCCCCTAAAGTGAGGATCCATTACTTCCAGCTGCAGCAGCTGGCATCTAAAACAGTATTTGAGGAAATATACATAAGGCATGTGAAAAGCAAGTTGTGCTTGCCCCAGTTACTAATTTAGTGGGTTATTCTGGAGTTGCAGTGACTCCAGGTACTAAATTCCTTAGTCCTAAATTATCATGCTGTTGTAGCCCTCTAATTTCAAATCCTAGTGATTCAAGAGCTACTGAACCAACTGCAGCAAACGTGTTTGGCACCAGTGCCCAGCTCCTTGCCAAGTCAGAATATAAATGAGCATTTCATTAAATGCTGGTGGTTTTCTAGTACTCAATTATTTACTCATAAACATTTCTCCTGACAGAAAGTTTGAAGAGATCTACCCTCCTGAAGTAGCTGAGTTTGTCTACATCACAGATGACACCTACACCAAGAAGCAGGTCCTAAGGATGGAGCACTTAATTCTGAAGGTTTTGTCATTTGACTTGGCGGCTCCAACAATCAACCAGTTCCTCACCCAGTACTTCCTACACCAGCAGACAGATGCTAAAGTGGAGAGCCTGTCAATGGTAAGTAGGAATTCCTAGCTCAGCCCATGTAATTAGAGAGTTTTATTGCAGGTACTTATTGCACATATATATATACACACACATATATGTATAATGTATAGACCTTATGAATTGTGCTCCTCCAGAAGTGGTGCCCACTGCTGGAAAGGAACTCCTATTGCCACTTTCTGTCTGGGATACTCCATTCTTATCAGAGGCTGCCACTTGGCCTGGCTCAAGCATGCAGCCTTACTCAGAGCAGGCAGAGATTAATGAACTTGAAATTGGGGCTTGATGCACTGCTAGGATACATGTTTCCCTCTCTTATCTACAGTTGTCACACCTACCCCCACATGCTTTGGCAAAAAAGGACTTTTAGTTTGGTTTTTTTCCTCAACCAGCAGCAAGCTCTAAATCCAGAGGCTAATTTCTAGAGCAGAGCACAGATAACATTTCAGCTGTAGTTAAAGTAAATCCTAGCTATGTGGTAGGTACCAGAGGGCCTAAACACAGGCCTTTGTCTCGTGTGCATAGGTCAGACCCAACTACAGGATTTCCTCTAGTTCTTACATATTTGTAAATATAAAATGTGCTGGGAAAGCATGTGTTGGGAATGCTGTTTGATAGTAGCTAACAAGAGGCGCTTCAAGAGAAAAGGGGAAACTGATAAAAGGTGTCTTTCCAACTGATGGCAGGATTGGAAACTCAAGTTAGGGTTCTAATGCAAATGTGAACTTTTGGAAGCAGATGATTGCCTTTTTCATTTCCCTTGCAGTACCTGGGAGAGTTGAGTCTAATTGATGCTGATCCTTACCTGAAATACTTGCCATCAGTTATTGCTGCTGCAGCATTTCATCTGGCAGATTACACACTCACTGGACAAACCTGGGTATGTAGCACTCCAGCATGGGCCTTCACAAGCCTCTGTGTGTTCAGTGTATTTGTACACAGTTCTGAGTGCTGGGCCTGGGCTGCAGGAATTGTAGCCCTTTTGTGTTCCTAGGCTGTTAATGAGGGATTGCTCCCTGTGGCATTTGAAAAATGGGATGGGGGGGGGTGAGGTAAATATGGTTAAACAGGAAGCTAAATACTACACCACTGGTGATCAGCATAAATGAACGGCAACGTTCAAATTTCCTTCTCCCTTTCTTTTTTCCCCTCAGCCTGAATCCCTGTGCAAAGTAACTGGCTACACTCTTGAAGACATCAAGCCTTGCCTCATAGACCTACACAACACCTACCTCAAAGCAGCCCAGCACACACAACAGTCCATAAGGGAAAAGTACAAGAGTACCAAGTGAGTATCTGTGGAGGTGTTAAAGTCTGAGTTGTCCAAGCATGTAACTGCCTGGCAGGGTATGGAACGTATCTTTTGAGTTTTCAGGCAGATTCAACTAACCAAATTCACCTCTTCAGTGAGAGAGTAACAACACTCCCTGAGGTTTTTACATGGTGTTCTGTTGCTGCCTGAACTGTCAGGTAGAAACTGGAGGAATTTTCTTGGCATTCCTACAGTTAGTGATACCTAATGCTCCCGAAAATCTGTGTGGGGCATGGCAGCCAACAAGCCCCAAAATATTTCCTGCCTGGCGGGAAATGTGCTTTGCTGCAGTTATGCTGCTCTTTGTGGCAAAGAGGACTTGAGCAAGATGACATCCTGCTTCTTTTGTTCCCTCTCTAGGTACCATGGAGTATCGCTCATTGACCCACCAGACACACTAAACTTATTGTAATAATCAAGAGACTGATCTTTTTAAGAGATGTATATTACCAGGAAATGATGTACAGTTTTAAACATGGTTCAGGATTCTAGATATGATCACTCAGAATATGAATACAGGCTTTGATGACTTCAAGTATGAAGTTTAGTTTCATGTGGTTTTAATGTAAATCTTTTGTACATGCAATCTTGTTAAGAGTTTTATCTGTGTTTTTATCAAAATGTTCTCTTCAGGCACAGAATTAACCATGCAGACCACGTGAAGTCTGAGACTGCTTATCTAATTATAGACTAAATGTTAATATTAGAAGTGCATTATTATAGTAGGGCTTTTTCTCCTTCTGGGTAAGAAAGATTTGGTCTCCACAGAGTATTGGTAGCATTTTATACTGTCTAGTTTAAACTGAGACTTTAGAATAGATCCAAAACATTGCCTTAATGGCTACAAAACTGGAAGAAACTCTATGGCCACGAGGAGAACTCCTTGCTGGAACCGACTCATGAGGCTCTTTAGGACGTGCCCCAGTTGCTGTATAATGCAGTGCCAGATCTTCATCAGGGGAAAAGGCTGAAGCTCTGCTGCAGGGACTGCACAGTTAAAACCCCTGCACCAGCTCATACCTCATGCTTCCACTATGCAGAAAATGGTCTTGCTGTCAGTATTTTCTGGTCCAAGTGCAAAACCAATACTAACCTAAACCCATGGAGTTCCCACTGATGTGTTGGCTGTCCCAAAAATCCATCGACGCCTACTGAGAAAATCGGTCTGCTTGCCTTGTGCCTCTTGAGGAGTGGTGGAGGGATTAAACTGCAGTGGGTGAACTGCTGCTCTGTGGCCTCAAGAGCAGGGAGTGTCTTCTGACATGGATTGGCTGCATGCAGAGCAGCAGGAATTCCGTACGCCCCTCACACTTGGGAGGAGCTCCTCTTTGGCACACAGCAAAAATGTGCCATGTTTTTGCTTAGCTCTGGAACTGTTACAAAAGCAAACTGGCATTCAATGAGCATTAGATCAAGTGGATGTTTACCCTCAACCTGTGTAAATGGAGTGATGCTGCCCTGTACCGCTCTGTTTGCATGTAAAGCAGCGAGTGCATGGAAGTGGGCTGAATTGAGCCATTTTCAGGTTGGCTAATAAACAGCTTTTGTATCTGATGTTAGTGGTCTTGCCAATAGCTTAAAATCACTGAGGGGTAGTGCTGTCATCTTAAACTGGCATTCATTTCTAAAGCCTTTTGGCAAGGGCTGCTCTGTGAAACCTGTGCTTCTTCGAGTTGAAGTTGAGTCTGCGCTGTCTCTGGTTATCTGCGCACCCAGCAGTATGAACTCCTCCTCACAGCTGTTAGGGTGTGGGCTGTTTGAAGTATTTTTTTTTAAATCGTCATCTCTGTCGGGCTGAGCCTAGCAGTTAATGAGAAATAACTCTATGTCTTACCGCAGCAACTACAAAGTTACTACTCTGCCCCCACCCTTGTGCTCCTGCCTGAGCCTTCCCCGAGCCACCACAACTACAAAACCAATAGAGACGAGTAGTGGTCAAAATTCTGGTTGAAGCAGCAGGAGCGGCCTTTTTGGCCAATCTGATCTTAGGATGCACTTGGACTTTTATGCGTGTTCTAATGGTTAATGAGCTGCTTTCCACTGGCCATCAGCCTTCTAGATTAATTTCAGTGGGCTGCTGCTGAAATGCTAAAATGAATTTGGGACAGCCTGTGCAGTGTATCATGTCTGGCGCTTGGTCTTGGAAATGTTTTAACCTTGCAGGAGAGAGAGTTTATATAGGGAGGAATGTTTTTCACTGTTTGTGACCTTGGAAGGGTAACTAGCAATGTTGACTGGTAGCAATTACTTGAAGGTAACAAGCTCTCTTCCTGGGAAACTGGGTTCTGCCTTCCCCTTCCTTTCTGTGGTGCATTCCAAGACCACTGAAAAATATCAACATTGGAGGGGCAATTTAAAGGAAGCTTATGAAGTATTTTCTCCAGAAAGGGAGCAAGTAGCAGTACTTTAGGTGAAAAGACTTCAGTGGGTTTTAGTATTAATTTAGTGCTTCATCAAAGAGCTGTGCTCCAGTTTCAATAGAATTTGTGCCCTTACTGTTCCCATAGCAGAGAAAAATTCTTTCATACTCCCTGACCTTCACCATTATCAACATGACTTCCTCTGCAGCCTAACAAAAAATCTCCAGTCAGGGGCTGGCATCTCTGTCCAGCATGACAACGTTCCTCCTTCCTCAGGGCAGCTCTTGCTTCTGCTATTAACTGCTATCTTTTTCCACCTTCTCATTTTCCAAAGTTATTATGGCAAAATTCCAGCTTTTGCTTCTAAGCCTTGAACAAAATATCCCAGGTTGTACTGTACTACTGTTAAGCCTATCCAGGTTAATTTCTAATCCATTCCAACTAAAGGCTCTAAGGAATATAGGGATGTTACGTGTGAAGAAGGGAGCAACAACAGTGCAAGAAATACTGTTCTTTTTTCTGAAGAAGTTTACAGTCTTGTAGTACTCCAGAACTAAGAAAGAACTGCATCTTCACCCATTTTTGTACTCGGAACAGTGACTTTGGGTTGGAAGAACTGACACTAAGAAAATGCACTGGTTTAGCTCCTGGAGATAAGAAGCTTTGTGTGTTGGTCTCCTCCTGAAAGAGCACAACTTGAATCACACTTTGCCTGGCTGGGAGGAATGTTATATACATTTGGTTTGGGTTTTTTTACATTAACCTGATTTGGGGAATGTAAAACCTGCAACAGTAACTTCTCTCCTGTTCATAGCTCATGTAACACTGAGGTCACCTGTAAAATAGCCCTGCTTCACTCTGTAAATACGTGTGTGTTTCCAGGGTCACTTGTTTGTAAACAAAGTGCCCAGATCAGGCATTTTGCAATCCTCCTTGTCTCTCTGTTTTGCCTGATCCTAAATTCACAGCGTAACTCTCTGCCTGTAGTTCAAGAAGCATTCCTGTCTGTTGCATGTAATATTTAATTAAACTTTTAAAGAAATTCCACTGTTTAAGTTCTGTGCTAGTTTCTGAAGTCCATGCATTTCTGGTGATTTTCATACAGAGCAGTTTGAGTGCAAGGTAAGATGTGGAGTAACAAGGACAAGAAGGTTTTAATCACAGCGCATTGATTTTCCCCTGTGAAGAAAGCTCAGCTAGGTGTTTTTGCTGCAGCTGGATGCCAAACCTAGGATTTCAGTTACAGGCACCATTTCTTTATTTAAATCTGTATACAATCGTTTAACATATACGTAAAAGCAGAACGAGATATTGGGATGGGAGGAAATAAAATTATCTACAAAAATAAGCTCAGTAATAATACACCAAAATCCGTATTATACAGCATTCCTGCAGGAGGGATGATGGCTTTAACGAGAAGTTCTCTTCTTTCTTCTCCTTTTGTTAAATGCTTTCTTACTTGGATTTTCTTGTTTGGAGCTGGTCTGTGTTCTGTCAGCAAATAACAGTTGTATCAGAAACATACTGAACCGTTTTTCAACTTGGCAACTACCCACCACACCTGGGGCCAAGGTATAAGTTAATCTTTTGAAAGTGCACTAACAACAAGGGTTTCCATGGGTACAGCAGCAAATCTCACTTCTCGGAGGTAAAACTCTACATCAGCTCTAGTGCAGCACACAGAATGTCTGCAGCAGCTCTAAGGAGCCACTGACTGAGATCCACTTGTATGCTCTCACTCCCTCTGGAAGGACTAAAATGAGTCAAATGGCCAAAACCATCTCAGACAGCTGCAGGCCAGCCAGGCTCTGGCCTCTCAGGACAGAAGAGATTTAGCCTAGATTTAAACTTCCTTGCTCTCAGCTGTCTCTGTATTCTCTTTGATCAATTGAAATCTTTCTCGGCCTTGCCAAAATCCTGTCCTTCCTGGAAGTACTCCTTACAAACTTTTCCCCCTCCTAATTCCACTTGCTGGTTACCTTGTTTTCCGTGGTAGTTCCTGTGGTTCCAGAATGACAACTTCTTCCTCCTCGCTGTCAGACAGTACAATGGGTTCATCTAGAAAACACACAAGCCCCACCAACCCCAAACTGCTGGTCAGTGTTGTACAAACAACCCCTGTGAAAAATAACCACAGCATTTTTAATGAAACATCTAGAGGGGTTACTGATTGATTTGGAGCTCTCCCTATACTACAGAAATCAAGTTTTGAAAAAGAACTGACTGGGTCAAGTGGAATTAGCAACTGTGTAAAATAGCTACAATGGTTCTTTCTTCCTTTGGACCTTTCACATTTTAATGATGAACTGTTAATAAAGTGATATAATAAGATCTGATATTAAGAAAAACAAATATTTACCACTCTTAGTTTCCCTCAGTGTACTTGTATCCTCAGTCTCCACTTTCTCGCATTCAAAAGCAGCTGCCTCACTTTCACCTTCCTCTTCCGCTGCTTCTTCCTTCTCAGATTCTTCAAGGTCTCCCCAGGAGCTGTCTATTCCTTCCCCAATCTGGGCTGTCCCAGGAGTGTGCAATACTGGATTGGCAAAACTGCAGGAGTTAAGAAAACCTTGGTGTTTGCTGGTAAAATTCTGAGTGTGCAATACTGGATTGGCAAAACTGCAGGAGTTAAGAAAACCTTGGTGTTTGCTGGTAAAATTCTTTGCATTCTGAGAGCAAACCAGATGGTTTATAAGCTGGGGAGAACAGCCCTAAAGGGGAGTTCAGAGTGCCACTTCTCCAGTCACTGTAATAATCACAGTTCTGACCTCAGCTTTGCACTTTAGGCAAGGAGTTAGAAACAGACTGAACCAAGACCAGGATGATGATGATGAGGATGATGATATTTCCTCCCAAGGTTATATGCCTACCTAAGCTATGAGGAATATTAGATGTGTGTTTAGGCTGGTTTTCCCCTGAGCAATACCCTGGAAAAGATACACTTCTGAAGGAGGGTCAGCTTTAGCAATGATTTCTCCAGCCTGTTCTTCCACGTCGTTGGTGTCCACAGCAGCACTCTCCATTTTGAAGGCAGTGATCCTTTGGTTGGGGATGGATTCCGCAAAGCCGAACTTCCCCCCTTCTTTCCTGGTCATTCAGCAACAGACATTTTTTCAGGATAAACAAAAGTTGCTTCTCTTTTCAAGTTCAAATATACAAACACTTGCTCTTTAAAACAAATACAAATGAAGACAATTTGCTGATGGACATTAGTTTTTTACTACATTTCTTAAAAACCCCCATTTCCATCCCTTCCCAAAACACTCACCTGGCTTTTTGGTCATTTTCCAAGGCTTTCTGAATCAGTTCTGTTATTTCTGCGACCTTAACAGCTGTTATTTTAGTGCATCTCAGAATCTGTTTGTTACACATACAAAAACCAGTTTACAACCACGAAATCAACGCGTTTTTAACTGAAACTATAGAGCATCATAAGAATCACAAACATTTAAATCACAGGAATTTCAAACACTTAAAATATAGCACCCTTAGCATGAAGGACTGGATTCATTGAGACATACAAAAAGTTAGCAGCTTCCAGAGTGCAACTGGAAATAATCTGCACATTTTTTTCAGCCAGATCACAGGGAAAATAAAAAGATAAATATCTGACCAAAAACTATGCATTTTCTACACCCCTTCAGCAGCATGGTACACAGTACTATGCTCTTCCACTAAAAGAAAAAATACACAATCTTTTCCAATAAAATCAGACAGTTAATTGGTTTCTCAGCTTCCAAATGTCATGGATATTTCCACATCAAGACTGCAGCACAGGAACCAGTCTATACACCACAGAAGGACTGGTCAGAGCAAAGGTTTACCTGATCTGGCAGCAGCATGACCACTCCACTGGACTGGATGGTACAAATTTCATGGTGTTTATTCATGGCAATTACGAGGAGCCCATCCATCACCCGCTCCTCACGTTCAGTTGGGTCCACCAACAAATAGGTCCTAGAATCAAGGTTTGAAATATCAGGCAACAGTAGAAATTCGAGGCACCTTACTACCCTTAAACACAATTAAACAAAGGAGTTGGCAAGGTTTATACCCCTTATGTGGGTACATAAGACCTCAAAATCTTACCCTTGATGGAAGAAGGCAAAACTGACACAAATGGGCATGTGGTGGATACTCAAGGGGACAGGATCACGTTCCTCAGGAGTGTACTTGGAAAGGAATTGGCCCAGAATACAGTTATTTATGAAACTCGTTTAATTTTAAAGTGACAAAGAAATTTCAGGAAATTTAAAACAGAAACAAAAACCCAGCTTACCACAGTTACTTCCTCTCCTTGCACAGACACATCTGGCCTGCGAAAATGACACAGAGCTACAATCCCTGCTATGCTGGCAGCATCAGTGATGTTGCCATCATGGTTTAACAGGTGCATGTCCAGCCGAATTTGCCAAACCTGACAAAAATACAAAAAATACAAAACTGCTTGATTCTACAGAAATTAATTTTTCTTCAAAACTAGTTCATCTTTTTTGAAACAGACAAAGAACCAATATATTTTCCCTAGGTCTTTGACTAATAAGATTAGAGATCTAGGTATATTTCAAGATACCCACTGTGCCAGATTTAATTAGGACAAAATATGCAGCACTTCAGCACAATTTAAACAACATTCTGTAGGGTCCCAGCTATTTCAGAAAGCCTATGCAGACATGACAAGCTAAAAATACTCAGATAAGTGGATCTTTACCTTAACCTAAAATCAGTACTTCTACTATCCAACACAAGACAGAGACCAACTTAGAATTGGACTATATGTATTTTTTAGTTTAAACCCACCAGGAATGAAGAAGTTTTCCTACCTTTTCACCAGCAACAACGCAGAGAGATTCAGTCTCAATACATTTGGAATCTCTGAGGCATCGCTCCAGTAGTCTGTTCAGTGACACCAGTAACTCAGATTGTCTGTTGGAATAAAATTAACCCAAAGTCAATACAATTACAGTGGCTTTTATGCCATCCCTGTTTACTCCTTTTAAGACATGCATTACCTGCCAGGCTCCAGCCCAGGTGCAGCCATGGGTGAGAGCTCCAGATTGAAGAAGAGCACACCCTCCGTGGGCCGACTGGGCTTAGGCGGAACGAGTTCACACGAGACCTGTGCAAGAACCCTGCCAAGGCAAATAAACCACCAAGTCACAGAAAATACCAGGGAAAATCTAGAAACAAAATACATACTTGGGGAGAAAAAAGCATGTGGTTAGGGTTTTAGTTTGTAATTCTCACTCCTGACAGTTTCTCGTTCAACATCTGTCATACATTATTTAAAATCTGGTCAACAACTGAAGGAGCCAAATGTTAAGAACTAGAACGTACTCCTGTCTTTTAAGACTAAGAATTGACTCAAACACATGAGAAACTGTAATGACATATTTATGTAAATGCACAGATTTCACTTTTACACAGGCAAAAAAGGGTCGTTTGGTCTGGGGAAGAATGCTAAACGTGAGACCACTGAATAAACAGATGAAAACCTGGGAACAATTCTGCATTTTATAAATTATTTGTAACTACAATCATCACGGAAACCCCATCCCTTTCCCGCTTCCTTCCTTTCCATCCTCTCCTCTTTGCTCCCACCCTTGAAATACTAGGGCTTTAGGGCTTGAAAGGTTAAAATCTGTTTACAGAGATGTCTGCAGGCAGGGGAACCTCAGGCTCTCCTTGGCCCGGGGCCCGCGGCCGAGCCCCCGCGCCCACCTGGTCCTGCCCAGCTCCACCATGCAGCAGCCGCGGTCCGCGCCGAAGGAGACGCGGATGTTCCGGTAGTCGTAGCACTGCCTCCCGTCCAGGCGCTGCGGGAACACAGGGACACACACATGGAGAGGGTCGGTGCGCCATGCCCGCCATGCGACGGCACCGCGGCGGGGGGGGCGGCTCCCGGCGACAGCCGCGCTCCGCGGGCGGCGGGCAAGGGGATGGGGAAGGGGATGGGGAAAGGGATGGGGAAAGGGGCGGGGAGGGGGGTGCTGGCGCCGCACCTTCTTCTCCTGGATGGCGCGGAGCAGGAAGCGCCGCTCGCAGTTGGAGAGCGGCGTCGCCTTCATGGCCGCGCCGTGAGGGGGCAGCGCGCGCGGGGCACGGCGCGGGGGGGGAGCGCGCGCGCGTGCGTCATCGCCGCGCGCCGCGCGTGCCCAGCGCGCACGCGCCGCGGCGTTGCCGCCCCCGCGCGCGCCCCCTCAGGGAGGGCGCGGCCCCGAGACTCCCGTAGCCGGGCGGCAGCGCGCTCTGCTTGGGGAAACTTTTCCTGCTATCCGAGCTAAACCTGCCCCCACTCAGCTTCACGCTGCTTCCCCGAGTCCTATCCCTGGTCACCAGAGTGCAGAGATCGGCATTGCCCCTCCGCTCCCCCTCCCGAGGATGCTGAGGTCTCCCCTCAGCGTCCGCCAGCTGAACAGACCAAGCGCCCCCAGGCGCCCCTCACACGGCTTCCCCTCCGGGCCCTTCAGCACCCTCGTGCTCTCCAGCAGCTCCCTGTCTTTTCCTTACTGCGGTGCCCAAAACTGCACGCAGCACCCGAGGAGAAGGCGCGCCGGTGCAGGGTGTGAGGGTGCGCGCCTCAGCGCCTCGGCAGCGACAAATGGTGCCGGAGTGCCGGTCCTCAGGAAAGCCATCTGGAATTAAAACAAACAAACAAACAAACAAAAAAAAAACCACAAAAAAAAAAAAACCCAACAAAAAAACCGCACAAAACATGCATGCCGGACATTTCGAGTGGTTAACACTATTGTGGTGCCCAGCCCTCCAGGTGCGGATGCCCCGCGGCACCCGGGCTGCCAGCAGAACATCCCTCCCTGCTGTTCTGAAATGTTGCCCGTAAGTAAAAAGGCCTTTACAAGTGGCTTTTATGCTTCGTTTGAGCTAAAACGAGAAAATCTATTGTCTTCCCACCAATACTAAACCCCAGACACTGGCATTTCCACACAAAAGTGTTGAAATAGCTCAGTCACGCTGTCTTTTCAAGCCTTGTTAATACACTACAGTTCAGGTACAAACTAAAATGTAAGTCGTGTTTCTAAAACTCACAAGTTTGTGCTAGTGAGGACAAGTGCTGCCTGATTTTCCCATGCTGGTTTTATATTTTCAGTTTAGGATAAATATCATCACAAATAATAGGTGTAAGAAAATATCTATAAAATTATAGAAAGACACTCCTTCTCCAAGGACAAAAATAAGCAAATTGCCCTTGGAGTTTTACTGACAATCTTTACGTGGAAATTCTGTCTGATTTTACTTTTTTGGTGTGAATTTGGCGACAATATTCATTAGCGAAGGCTTGGGGTTAAATTCTGTAACTCTTCAAGTTTACTAACAGCAAATTTGGAAGCGTTTTTTATTGTTTGTGGGAGTTGTCCAAACTACTTTACTCTTCGTCAATTACAAAAATATGTTAATTTCAGCATATATTGAGATTTCTGCTTGAGGTGGAGTGGGAAAATTCCTGTTCCTGCTCTCTCAGTGAACTGTTAAGTGACTCGATCTATCGGGCTGGCGGAAAAGCACCCTTTTCAAAAGAGAAGGTGGTGGTGATGGTGAACTTCAGTGGGAGCTGGATGTAATTCCAGGGGAAATAAGTCATGTATTGGGGCTGGAAATCAGCTGCGTCCCCTTTGATCCACACAGTCTTCTTCACACAAAGGCTACTTTGCAGCTTTGGTGCTTGCACATGTGCTAGGAAGGGTAAAGAATTTAATGGACAAATTAAGGAGGCATAAAAACACATCATTGGAAATCTGTAGGAGGAGGGTACAGAGAAAACAAGATCAGTATAAATGGTTAATGAAATAGGAGCTGAGTAATTTCTGTGTTTCTGAACAGTGAGGGGCAGGGCTACAGTGGTAATGAAATAATGGAAATACTCTGGGTGTTCAGAAGGAGTGAGTGTTGCACCCTGCAGAGTGAATAAATGAGCAAATAAATCACAGGTACTTAGGCTAAAGCAGGAATTTTTAGAAAGAAGATCGTGATGATCTACTGTGCCCACATGGAAGTGTTTCTTCATTTGAGCTGAATGCTCTGTGGGCTGAAATGCTTGAATTGGATTATTTTACTGAACTGAGCCTGGAGGGAAAATCGCATTTGAGGACTGGAGAAGAAAACCAAACTGCATCAGAATCTCTGCATCTTGACAGCAAGCTGCCATTGATTTTTATAGCCTAATCAAAATAAATAAGAAATTGACCTTCTCTTTCCATGGCAGCCTTAACTGCAATGTGCCTTTGCTGCTTGGCTGCGAGTCCAGCTCATTGACACATATCATCCATGCATGACATGATGTATGCAGTGCTCCAGCTGATAAGGTTATTTGGGAAGAAAGGCTCTGCCTAGATGTAATAATGTAATTTATAATTTGTTTTTATGATGAAAGTTCCAGGGGGTGTGGGAGGATGGGCAATCCTTGCAAGCAGCGCTGCTGGCAGAAGTGAGGCATGAACAGTACCTCCTGCTGAGATGAGGAACAGGATATTCTGGCCAGGATCCAGTGAAGCACTCAAACAAGCTCTTTGTCTGAAGCACCTTTGTCCCTTACGTATTAGAAGGAATGTGTCACAGCTTCCAAGGCTAAAATATAGGAAAGGAGTTGCCTGGTATATATGCCGAAATAATTTTATTTAAAAAAAAAATTAAAAAAAAAAAAAAAAAGGGAGGGGATCCAGAACTGCCAGGAAATCATCTAAACACCATCTTAAGGCAAGTTGGTAATAACATCTTCATCTGCTTGCTGAATGCTTGCTCGATCATGTTTCCATAGGCTAGATTTCAGAGTAAACCCCAAAATATTCTTGCTGTTTCCACCTGTACTTTAGCCTTCACATCACCTCTTGGGGTTTCCTGCTCTCATGAAAGAAGTTTTTTGCTCCAAAGGGTCCTGCCAGAAATTCTGAACCTGTAGACAGTGCTGCATTGAATGAACACTGGTTCCCAGCTCTCAGCAATCCCCTGGGGAAAGTGGAAAGTGTTTCCAAGGCTGGATGCCAGGCAAGCAACAAAGTCAGAGGAAAAGAAGTTACACTTCTCCTTTTATTTGTCTCCACACTCTGCAATTTCCTTGTCTCCAGGCAAACTGTTTCAATAATTTCTATGGATTCAAGTGAAACCAGTTGCTGAGTGAAGTGTCATGCTAAACCAGAATTGTTACAGTTTGAGTTGAAGGCTCTGAATATACAAATCAATGTCTGAGTTCAGATTTTAATGTGGTTTAAGATTTTCAAACCTTTTAGAAGCATCTTCAAATTCTCTTAAGAAGCAAGAGATGTCCATGTTGAAGTAGAAACTGTAATTTTGTTTCATGGGGAATAGGCAAAAATAGACCAAAACTGTTGCCTGAATAAAAGCACTTTCTCATATCCTAATCTTAAATATTACTTGACAGATAGGTTAAATACTGGCTTGAGGCAAGAGCTCAGGAGTGTGAAAATGAAGTGAATATCTATTTGGAAGCTGGTTTTTTTTTGTTGTTGTTGTTGTTGATGTTTTTTTTTTCCTATTGGAAAGGTGCCAGAAAATGTTTGCTGATACCACATATTGACAGTCTTACAATACAGAGGAAATCCAGAGTACTAACAAGCTTACTGACATCTGATCCCTAAGAGACAATAGCACATTTAATAACATTGGGGGATAATCAGATAATCAAGTTGAACCATTAAATCAAAATGGCTTTTTTTCCCCCAATTATTTTTCCTGCTTATTCAGCTTCCAAGTATCTGTTACAGACCAGAAATTAATCTTGACTGCCTTGAAATGCTGGGAGTCATAATCTTTCTCAATCAAGCATTTTTGTTGTTCTGTATGGAAAACCTCTCTTAAAATCTTGATACTAAAATTCTCCATTTAAAACAGGGGATGCATCTTTTTGTTGACTCAGCTGATTTTAAAGGAAATTTCACTTTTAAAGTTGTATCTTAGAATGCAGGTGTTGTTAAAAGATAGAAGTGTGGTAGAGAAGTGCCTCCTGTTGTGTAGAACAGCCACCCATTAGTGTCTTGTGCACAGCAGACTGTCTCACATGAAGAATCCTCTGTGTACCACATATAAATCTTAATCTCCCCATATTTTCCAAAGATCCCAATTCTTCATTCCCTGCCCAGAAATTCTTACAAGAAAACTGCTGTGAGTAGTTGAATTCCTCGTAGTAATACAAGCAAAATGGGAAAGTGTCCAATTATTGTGTCAGAGACCACAGAGCACTGGAGAATGATGGGTGCTGGCCTTGCCTTTTTCCACCAGGTAATGTTTTTTACAGTATGGATAAAGTTGTCCGAATGATGTGTTACTTCAAGAAAAGGTAAGTAAGTGATCATTTCCCCAAATTGCCTCAAATTGTTATATTGAGCTTTATTGTGAAGTATTATGCAGAGGTTCAACAAGGGTAGAAGATTTGGTGTAACATCATCACTCAATACATATTTGTCTCCTTAGCTCAGATTTGGGGGTGATGCTGTACTTATGTTAAAAAGTTGGGAGTCTTGATGAAGTTTTTTTTTTGATACATATTTCTTTAGAAAACAATACACCTTCTCAGGCCCTCACAAAATTTGCAGTATATGCAGCCGCGCTCTGTGAAATTTCACTTCCCTGGCTTATAAATCTGTGGAGGCTTTGAGAATATGACTTGAGCCAAGACAAATCATACAGGGCAGTGGAAAGATGGTACCATGAGAAGCAGAACTCATGGTGGGTCTATCACAATCAAATTGTTCACCAAAATCTGAGTCAAGTGGCCAAAACTCAGAATAACTTTCCTACTGCCACAGCAATACCTCAGGAGTGCTTTTGCTCTGGGCCAAGGGCAGGGGTCTCAAATGTCTAGAAGAGGGACATTTTCTGGTGCCGCTGGAGTTTGGAGCTCTTTGGCCTGTGCCGGTGTACGGCGACACGGGCTGGGGAGGCAGAGCGGATGGGTACGTATGTGGACATTTCATTCTGGATGGGAGGCTCCGACTCGAGGTGAGCCACCCCAGGAGCTTCTCCGGCTAGTGACAGGGTGGTCAGGGCATCGTTTCTGTGACAGGGGACCTGTGCCCAAGGCGCAGGGACAACACGCGGCAGCTCGGAGCCCCGGTGCCCCCTGCACCCACCGCCCCT